TCCCAGCCAAGGGGTTGCTTATCTCCCTCCTTAGTTGTGGCAGACAGACAAGTCTGTGTCCATATATATTGTAGAGGCTTGGGACCGAACAGTATTCATCCAAATGTAGAACAGATCACCCTCAATTTGTTCACATCTCATGGAAGTCGTTATACTATGTCTTCCTCATTCCTGCGGTGAAATAAACTGGATACTATCAAAAAAAGAAATCAGGTTGGCTTGGCATAATTATTCCTAATAAAGTCACTATTGTTTTCAAAACAATTTTCTAAACTGACTGCTTAATAATCTCTCCTGGAGTTTTGCTTGTATCAATATAAATTGACTGAAATTGTGAGTCCTTTTCGTCCTATTTTTGAAAGTAGGAACAATTTTCCTTTTCCAATTCTCTATGACACTATGCTAATCTTCTATGATTTCTGAAAAATTGCATGAGGCCCAAACCAATAAAATCAGAAAATTCTCCAATATGAGACTATTCAAAAAAAAAAGAAGGAAGACTTATCAGCATATCATCTATAAAACTTCCTTTCTTACAAGTTATTGACAGCCAACCCAAGATACTTATAAAGTCAAATCTAAAGTATAGTTAACTAGAAAGTCTTGTCAATTCAAATCACATTAAAGTGTTGAATACAGAATATTTAGCACAGAGGATACTTATGCCTGAAGAGACTCAACAAGGACAAAAGTAGTTTGCAGTGCCTCCAAGTGGTTGTTAACAAATATATCATCTAAAATTGTAGTTTTGATACAGGATTTTTAGTATAATGTATCAAATCTTGGCATAAAACGTATAACTATATTCTTCAGATTTATCTAAGTCTGAGTTCAAAGTCAAGCAGAAATACAAGGACAAAATTGTTCTCAACCATTAAAAATTTTTTAGATACAAAATATTACCGATGATACATCAGGATCATAGTCATCAATTTGCTCCATTGTGAAAATATCTTTATTTCCAAGTGCAATTTGAAAAGCAGTCCTATCATCCAAGTATCTAAATGAATCGATCTCAGAAAAACACCATTTTAATTAGAATTTTCTTTTTTTATACATAGTTTCATTTTATGGCATTCATAACTCTGCAAAGTTCATAGAAATGTTCATGCAGTTTTACAACATATGAAAAACAAATTTTACCCTTTGTTTTAAGTAGATATAAACTTAAATAATTTAATAGCTAGCTGAGGGATTAAGACTGCATATAGCCTAATCCCAACTTCATTTTCCAGGAGGTTTCAATGAGCTTATGAAAAGGCAGGCCTCCTCCAATGGCTTATATTATTTGAAAAAAAATACTATTTATTCAAGCAATACTATTCTGAAGGGGATCAACATAAACTAAATAGCAATTGATCTAGAAACAATTCCTTTTTTTGCAAAAAGTGCTTAAGGATTTTACCTTAAGACATAGAAACAACTTGATGGTGACATTTTTATGCTCTCTAGGTATATTACATTTTTATTTGATAAAGGATACTTTCCAGCGTAAACTAGAGTTTCTGGCTCAATATCATCTTCATAAGCATTCAAAGGAACAAGTTTCCTTCTGAGGGGGTCAAAAACCAACTGATAGAGGAAAGTATTATTAGCCCGAATAAATCCTTGTATGTATTCTTCAGATACTGAAATATTCATTTTTAAATACTGTCCCATTTTTCCAATGATCTGTCGGGAAAACAAACAAATAGTGTTCATGAGTAATAGCAAACATAAGTGCTTAGCTTATAAACAATCTCTTTAGTCACATCAGGGGACAATTTCCATAATCATCTGTCCTCCTATCATATCATTCCCTAATGATCTTAGAAACAGATGTTCAGAAAGAAAGTTAATATCCAAGCCAATACCTTTATGAATCTACATATCAGTGCTTTGGACTTTGCATGAAGAAAATCTAGAAAATCTGGGTTATGAGAAAGTTATTTTCTAAAGTAAAGAGTATCCTAAACACAGAATCATTCCTCTTTTTTTCTATAGGGATAACTAAAAGATGCACAAATGGGTTTTGAGCCAATGTGTAAAATAATTTTCTTTCTACATGTATCACTAAAGAGGGTTTTTAAGGAGAAATCTAGCACAAACATAAATGAAAGGAGGGATTATTTAATTTGATTCAGAATCTTTAACAGGCACTCTGTGTGTCTGTGTGTGTGTGTATCTATATCTATATGTATGTAAGTGTTTATACCTGTGTGTGTATCAAGCAGTAGCAAATTTGACATTAACTTTCTTAACTATAATTAAATTATCTGATTGTCAGCGATAGCAACATCCCAAAATACATTAAATTGTTAAATTATATTAAAATACTTAAAAAAAACCTTAGAGATATATTTATGCTGCCGTGCTCAAAGCAAATAAAACAGAGAAAGAAAAAGATAAAAAAGGAGGTAAAGTGGGGAAGAAGGAAAGTTAGTTCCAGATCCAAGCCAAACACTTCACATGTCATTATTTTAATGTCTACTATCCTGTGACAAAAAACAAGTAGATGACACTCTATTGACTACTCTTGAATTTGCTGTGAAAGCCAAAGACCTTCACTAATTATTACCCAACACACACAATCACATGCCTCTCTTACAGATCATCACATATTGTTGTGAGGCAAATTCTGAAATGTTTTAAGTCAAAGGCCTGAACACCCAATAAATATAAAACCCACCCATCCCAACTTAATGACTTAGTATAAGTTAGATTGCATGCATAGCAACAGGGACATCCGTCACGAGAGACCTTGAACTCCTCAGAGGAAAATTCTTAGCTGCTGATTGTGCAACACTTCTGAGTTGTAGGGGCGAAAGGAGCTTTAGAGCGTGTGAGAATGTGCATGTAGTGTCTGCCACATCTTTTCGTGGAATTGTGTTGCATGACATACTATGAAATGACTCAGCTGCTTAAGGAAATGCCAACAAGTACAACCTACTTATCATCCAAGCATCTTTGTCCCTTTGTATCCAAAGTGCTGCAGCCTGTGACAAATATATTGATCAATTGTAGCTACAGATTCCCCTATAGAATCATAGCATCCAGGGTTACGGAGAAGGGGCAGCCTCCTCGGTTTAATGAACCGCTTCTCTTATTTTAGGGACCCTGATAAGAAAGGGGAAAAATTAGGCCTTTTTTATTTGATCTATTTGTTTATTGACAACTGGCCTAAAAGAATTCTGAAAAGACAGCAGAATTACAGCTGTTATCTAAGATGCTTTTATGCCCTAGAATACTGAAAGGCAACCAGCTGCATTGCAGATGATGCTGAGCTACAGTTTCTAGCAGGCACAGCTACACGGCTAATTGTAAGAGATACAGGATATAGCTATAGATCAATAGGAACCACAGGTTGCCCACTCCTGCCCGAGGAAGAATGGCAAATTAAGATGGCAAATTAATCAGCATAGACCCTCTCTGAATAACTTGGTGTTGGTAAAAGCTAGAATACATAAAGTCAAGGATGGTCTGCTGAAGACAAAGCAGATGTGGCAGTAATTAAAAGTATGTGTAGAAAGCTCTTACGCAGAGATTTGATGGCACTTAAGTGGGCTATCAACAATTGGTCTCTCTCCCCCAATTCTAACCACTTTCAATTTTTACCTTGATTGCTTCCCTGCTAATGCATTACCTACTCAGAACCAAGAATAGTACAGTTACTTTTACTGTCAAGAGCCAAGTGAGAAAACTAGGTTTTGAAAATGTTAGCATGAGATGGAATTTAAAATATGATTCTGAAACGGGAAGAATACAAGAACTGTGATGGCGAACTTGTGGCATGCGGAGCCATCTCTGAGGGCATGCGAGGCATTGCCCTATGTAAGCTCGAATGTGCATGCGCGCGCTGGCCAGCTGATTTTTCAGCCTTCTGGAGGGCGGGGGGAGGCTGTTTTCGCCCTCCCCAGGCTTTAGGAAAGCCTCTGGAGCTGTGGATAGAGAAAAATGGCCCAATGGGCCAACCCAAAGTTTGTTTCCAAACAAACTGTAGCGTGCATGCGCGGGGGTGGGACAGTATTGCATTATGGGTGTGGGCATGCACACACACACGTTATTGCGTGTGCGCCCTTTTGGCACCTGAGCAGAAAAACATTTGCCATCACTGTACTGGAGAGAGAATTCATGACATTAAACCCAATTCAAAAGTTTTTCTTGGGTGAATGCTTTTCCTGTTGAAGCTTCACCATTTGAATCCTGGGAACCATATTGTTTCATAAAACAGTTTCAAGGGGTTGTTTCTTCCTTAACCCTCATCAGAGGAAAGCACCATTTTTGAAGTTCTAGAGCAGATTTTCCTTGTTATTGATAAGGATTTTTGAAAATACAAGATAAATCAAGATGCAAAGAATACATTACCTTGATAATATCGGGGTTATTGGCTATCTTTAACAGTTTGCAAGACTTGCCTAAGCCAATACCATGAATGGATGGAAGGTAGTCACAACCAGAAAGAATACACATGTAGCGGAATTTCTCTTCTGTAAAGACATCCCCAAGCTGTTTGCACATTCCGAGGCGAGCTTGATCAATTTCTAAGCCATTTCCAAATTTGTCAATTTTAAGAAATACCTTGAAATGCAAATAAAATCATGAATGAATATATTCAAGGAACATCCACCAAGTGTATCAACAGCATCAAATGACATCAAATGGATCAGGTGTTCAAACTTCTGCCTCATTTCAATATGCATGCAAAAAGGGAAGGGGGTTTGATTGCCCTAAAAAAACCCATTCACCATTTTGATGCTATTGAACATTACTAATTTTATCTAGTGCTGATAACCTGGTGTTGCCCAGGTATTTATTTATAGGGGAAAATGTCCAGACCAAATGTAATTTCTGATTTTGGATTTTTCCCCTTATCAGAGGGAGTACTGTGAAGTCTTTACCTTGGCAATTTCCCTGTGCTGTACAGTAGAAGCCATTTTACCACAGTACAATAGAAGCCATTTTAAGGCACAACAGGCTGTATCTTAACAGAACACACACCCCGGGGTGTGTGTGTGTTAGGGATGTCTTACCCCCACAGTATTTGTTTTCCAGAGAGTAAATCATCTGTGGACCAAGTTTGGTTGAAATTGCTTGAGGCGTTCCAGAGTTGTGCTGGAACATATACACAGACACACACACACAGCCATTTACACACACACACACACTCAATATACTTAACATTTATCTAAATTAAAGTTAGGAGTGCAGCCACATACAGTAATCTTTTATTTCTCTTTTTGCTACAGCTGAAAACCTAATCTCACTCAGTTCAGATGTAGTATACATATTTCTTGAAAACCATTTTGTCAAATGCCTGCCAAGGGATATCGACAAATATCAACCATGAATATACAACACTTTTGTAGGTTTTGAAAACTTTGCATATGCCATACATATTATACAATACTGTGGATGCCTCATGCCGCAGTTGGCAGAAGGAGGGCTAAGAACAAAAATACACATTTCATGTGATTTGATGGGTCACAGTTTGTACTGTTGGCACTGCACACTAGAAAAGCTATTGGAATATTTTTGATGTAAGGAAACATTAAGTGAATTGATGCAAGACTTTGGAGGATTTTACAGTTGGAATAAATAAAAAATTAGAGTTCCATTGTACAATGTTATTTTAATTTTAAGCCTAATGAGGATTTAATTACAAAGCAATTAGCAGAACATTTTATTTTACGTGCCCTTATCACAAATATTTATAAGTTCAGGGCAGAGATGATGTACAAAGTAGTGACAAAGAGATGCACCACAAATTAAAAGTCCCCAGTTTTATTCTCACTTCTGCCATGAACTCCCTAAATGTTCTTAATAAATTATGCCTTTTCAACATAATAGTCACCTACCTCCTTGTAACGATGACATCAAAATTAAATATTTCAAGGGCACACACATGTATATTTACAAGCACATGTGTTCATATGCCCACATATGCACACATTTTGATTTCTCTTTAGAAATATCAAGTTTCGGATCTAAGCATATGAAAGCAAATTCTCCCTCATATGGAAAAAAGTGAAATCTAAGCATCCGTGCTTGTTTGTATAAATTGCACACTGCCAATTTCTAAACCATATTGCTTGCTCTTTTTAGGCTGGTTGTTCAAGTCTGCCTTAATTAACTGAAGATATACCTATATTTTGCTATATTTAACACTGGCAAGGGAAGGGAATGCAAAGGCAGATGAGCAAGTGAAGACCCTGCACTGGACCAAACAGGATGAAGGAGTGATTTCCCATGTAAACTTCCTACCTTTTTGCATCCAAAAGCGAGGAGATCAGAATCCTCCGTAATTATAGCCTGGACCATGCCAGCTTTGTTCAGATAAGCTAACTGAGCATCAGCTTCATAAGGCGCAACAAGACAATCTATTCCTCGAGCTCGGGCAGCCTGCAAGCAAGCAAACAAACAAACAAAAATAATGCATCATTCAAAATGCCCATCATAATACCACACATTAACATATAGAACTATAATAAATGAACAGTTCACCTGCTAGATACAGCTTGAATATTGCGTCTGGGATCCTGGAAAGCTACTCTTTGAGTTTAGGACAAAAAAAACTAGCTCTCCGGGACTCTAGTCGCAATATTCAAGTTGTATCTCCTTGGATAAATCACATGCTTAAAGTGGAACTTTCTATAATCTAGTCTAATTTAATCTAATCTAATGAAATCCAGCTGCTTTTGCCCAACTTGAATTCATGAATTACACTCTCTATAGGGGTAGTCCTCAACTTACAACCACAATTGAGCCCAACATTTCTATTGCTAAGTGAAACATTTGTTAATGAGTTTTGCCTCATTTTATAACCTTTCCTGCCACAATCGTTAAGAGAATCGTTGTAGTTGTTAAGTTAGTGACACAGTTGTTAAGTGAATTTGGCTTCCCCATTGACTTTGCTTATCAGAAGACTGCAAATGTGGATCATGTGATCTTGGGACACTGCAACCGTCATAAATATTAGTTGCCAAGCACCTGAATTTTGATCACCTGACTGCGGGTAGGCTGCATTGGTTGTAAATGTGAAAAATGGTCATAAGTCACTTTTTTCAGCTCCATTGTAACTTTGAATTGTAAGTCAAGGACTACCTGGCCTTTTCTAGTTCTTGAACCAGCTTTTACTATTTAGCTACAGAAATGTTTTCTTCCCACAGACTTGGGCCATAGAAACTTGGGGACACACACTTCCTTGCTGGGGAACATGTTGCCAGTCTAACTCACACTGGGGGAGGGGAGAAAGAGAAGTAAAGGAGAAATGAAGAGACTGTACAAAGGCTGTTATCAATTGCAATCCTTGTAAACCTAAATACACTTCCAGTTCTAAAAGAATCCAGTCATACCAGACTACTAATGGTCCATAAATTTTTATGTAGCAATGTACACAGTCCACACAAATCTTGCAATCAGATCAGTATTAGGTTTATATGTATCCTAGATAGAAAAAAATGGGGCAGAAGGGGGGTTGTAGATAGATATTTCCCCCAGCTTTTAAATTTAGTAATTGTGGAAAAATGCTTTTGTCTCAAATTACATCTTTTATTATAAATTCACCACTAAAGGTTACAAAATAATAAGCACAATTCGTTGTTTTCCTCTAAACTAAGTTATGCAAGCTTAAAATTGATAGCAAAGGGAAATGTCATAATCAAGACATGGAAAGTGAAATTCATAGTAGGGAACCTGCTAATATAAACACTTACTTTAATCACTTCACAAGCCATTGCATGTGTAACATTAATGCTGCGAGCAAAGCATTCTCTTGCTTCTGATAATTTCCCTTCACGGAGCAGCTGTTTCCCTTTTAGGAGATTTGTTTGTCGTTTTCTTCAAAATAACATAACAAATACATTGTCTAAGAATCTCACATTTATAACAAATAAATAGAATATTGTGCTATTCTCCCCAAAACTATCCTTACATTTTGGAGATTTACCATATAAAAGCTTAAGAATCAGATATAAAAGACAACAATAATCAATAATATAAAGTCCAGTAATAATATGTTCATTACTATTATTGTTATTAGCAATGGCAGTGTTACATTATTCAGAAGACCATAATGCTATTGCAGAGGAATAGTTCAGCTGCCAATTTAGCAGTTGTGTTGTAGGACAAGGTGCACCACAGAAGGGCTTTGTACCAGAAAGATGAGCAGCTTTTCCTGCAGCATCATCCACAGCCCCTTCCGGAGTCACCAAATAAACGCCACAATCAGGAAGGTTTAGAGTGGGCAGGAATTTGACTGACTAAATGGAGCATTTGTCTCTCTACCAATGTGGTACCTACAGTATTTATCTACTCACATAGAATAGGCTTTCGAACTGTTAGGTGAACAGAAACTGAGATGAGTGTTGGGAGCTCACCCTGACATGAAGTGCTAAGATTTGAACTGTTGGAGAAGAGACCATCTTCAGTGTCATTAAGCCACTGAGTCACCACAGCTCTTGTTCATTGCTATTACTTAATAATAGTAGAGAGATACCTACATGTTTCCCAACTTGTAGAGAATGGTCTCTACTTGGGGATTTCTCTTTCTCTCTGTAATGCCCAGTCAGATCCAGTCCATTTTGATCTCAATCTATCTTTTGCTAATTTGCCCCTTCTTACCAAATTTGGTCCCATTTTGTTTTTGAAGTATTATTCTGCTAGAAAGCAGAATCCCAATTTCTTTCCAATATTCTGCTGAGTTGGAAAGATTAAAAAAGGAACACCCCCAGCTTCTTAGTATACACAAACATAACTTACTCTCTTCTTGTTTTTTCAACTTCTTTTTTTGAAGGCAGAGTGCATCCATCAAATACCAGAATTGGTTTAACTCCAAATGATAAAAGCATATCAACAAGTTTCATGCAATAAACTACATATCTGTGAAAAGAAACACCAGCCTCATACATTTGTCACGACATCTTGAAACATATGGTTTGCATAATAAGGCCAACTTCCGCTTGCAATAACAAAATTGCCATTAGATTAGGGTAGCAACATGATCAGACGTGGTTGCAGTTTATGTCAATGTAGCTAAATCTATATTTTGTGCCTAGTCAAATATTTAGCTTACAGAAGTAAATGAAGAACGTCATTTGACTTAATTAACTGTAGTAAACACACCCTACAAGAGAAAAATATTTCATTTTGTACATTAAGAAAAGTGTATGGAGTTAAAAAGATTATCTTCTTTTCCAAATATTTTTTAATTTGGGCTGTAACTCTTTGCACCAATTATTCATAACTATTTACTATTATTATTTTTAAATGGGATTTAAATCATTTGTTTAAAGTTTTCACAAGCAATTAACATGAAAAAGAAATTAAGTTCTGTTATTTTTCTGAGTTCATGCATTGAACAACATACTTAATATGCTCAGCTTCCCCATCTTTCTTACTGATGGAATACATTGGTGGGCAGCATTTATGCAGCTTTCAGAATGAGACCATCTTTCCTGTACAGTGAACTCTATTTCAAATTTAGAATTAAATTCACAGCCTATCAGCCCCAGAAGAGGCCATCAAATCCATTCAAATGCTTAAATGGTTTATATGGCTGTGCACCTTCAACCCATATGCATCTGTCATTTCAAATCCAAGCACTCTTAAGTTTGCAGCCAAAATTTGGTGACAAAATGACAGGGATTTTTTTTGTTACCACAATTTTTGGCATGAGAACACATCAATAAGCATGAAAACTTAAAGGGGTGCAGAAAGATTAATTTCTACCCTTTAAAGCTGATAACAACAGTTAAAAGCATATTACTGAAATTTGGTAGCAAAATCACCAAAGGTTGGAAACATGAATTTTCATGTGAAATGCTAAAATGCAGAAATATCCAGCTTTAAACACCTCCAAATCTTTGAAAATGGGTCCTGTTTCCCCTGTGATGTCACCAAAAAGAAGCCTTCTGCAGCCTTTCAGTGGGCCTAGAAGCCTGTTAAAGCATGAAGGCTAAAAATGGTTACAGGCACTCCCACCACTTCCGTAACTATTTTACCCACTCTATCAGTCAAATAATTTTGCACATACTGGTCTGTGGCTTCTCCTTTTGCTAGTTTTTCTGCACATGCATAGGCTCCTTTGTGCAGCCAGCAATAAGTGTCTACAGCAACTACTTGTCCTTTGTACTTCTTTACATGAGTTGGTTCAGCTGCCTCTTTGATAAACTGGAGCAACCCTTGGATTCCCATTGTATCGTATCAGTTGAATTCTGAAAGCAAAGTAAAGAAACACAAAGCCAACAGATTCATAATTGCTCCTGAGCTGGGCCAGGAAACTTTACAACACACATCAATAAGATTGCCAAAGGGGCAATAGATCTCTAGTGCAAGAGACTCTATTACACCCTCACCAGGATGTATTAATTTGATTAATCTGAGAAATTGTTAATCAATGAAATAATATATAAAATATTAGTAACTAGTAACTGGTATGTTGTAGCATGTCCCAACAGAACTTGCTTTCACATTCACTTGTACTGACAACTGATTTTTATACATGAGGATATTATGACATTAGAGCAACTTTCAGGAATAGATTGCCACAGTTGCAAGACATATTTTCATATCTAGTTCATGCCTTTCTCTCTTTTCCTGCTCTCCAAAATCCATCAACTCCTTTGATAGTATGGGGGGGAAATTAGCAGTAACACAACATCTAAGAAAAAGGGACAGCTATTCACTGTATTTGGAAAGCTGCTGAATTACTTTCTCAGGTCCAAGTTGTTGCATCCCCCTGCTTCCCATTCTTATCCCACGGACACCTAGTCCTAGAAGGATCCTATGCAAGCTTCAAAGAAATCTTTAAAACAATACAAATGACCAACCCTTTCATAGGAAGGTGACGGGGAGGAAAAAATGTATTAAAGTAGAGAAAATTCTTTCATTTGAAGCAGATATAAAATAATACAATAGCAGAGATGGAAGGGATCTTGGAGGTCTTCTAGTCCAACCCCCTGCCTAGGCAGGAAACCCTATACCGTTTCAGACAAATGGCTATCCAACATCTTCTTAAAGACTTCCAGTGTTGGGGCATTCACAACTTCTGGAGGCAACTTCTGTTCCACTGATTGATTATTCTAACTGTCAGGAAATTTCTCCTCAGTTCTAAGTTGCTTCTCTCCTTGATTAGTTTCCACCCATTGCTTCTTGCAGGTGTTTTTGGAGAATAGCTTGACTCCCCTCGTCTTCGTTCACAATTACCTTCCAAATGTAACTTATACATGGATATTGTGATGTACAAATACGTGCAGG